GCTGATGTTGTTGCGCCCTGTTTCCCTCCCTGCTGTATGCTATACTCCTTTATGTATGTCCTTTGTATTGCCTTCGGCCTCTGTGCTGTGTTTCTTTTTTTCGTGACCTCCCTGCCTACTCTGCTGTGTTAGGTACCTTGATCTCGCTTTACTGTTGCCTTTGTTTTGTCTGGCTGTCTGCCCATCTGCCGCCTCTTTGCTCTGTTTGCTCCGTTACTCCCATACCCTGGTGCGTGGTGCCTGGTGCTGGTACGTTACCCTTTGATTTTTTCATTGGGCGGGTGTGGGAAGCGTCCTCCTTTATTTTTCTGTTATTTTTGTTTTGTTTTATTTTGATCGGTGTCCGAGGGCTCTTTTCTCGAACGGTCGGTGCGATACCTGTTCTTTTCTTTCTATCATTTTGTTTTCTTTTTCCGAGTGGTTTGTACCNCAAGCAGACAGAGACAGACAGAGATAGAGGTAGAGGAGAGACAGACAGACAGGAAGACCGAGACTCGGATACTGGTTTTCTGGCTTGCGATCCGGGAGCAATCGAACCAGCAGATGCTTCAGGAAGAACTACAAGACATGGTACTTGAGTCTTACAGAGCGAGGGCGGGTACTCGAATGCTCTACATGCGAGCAATACGTACCCGGCCTAGATCGTTGAAGTCGATACCGCGGTGGCATCCGAGCGATCCGCCGTTCATCTCCGGTTGTGTGCGCACGTTTGTTTTTCAAGACAACCCCTTTGAATCCCAGCCCTGGGCACTGGTGGACACGTCGCCTCTTTTGGTCCTTCGTCCCTTCCCCGTGCCGCGCGCGCTTTGGTCGAAATTCTGTCTTGGTTGGCTGGCTTTTCTTGGGGAGAAGACGTTATTCCTACGGCGTTACGACAGTGAAGTTCTATCTTCAAGGTCATGAGCGTTCTTTGGAATTTTCCTGGTATTCGGTGTTAGGACCACGTATGCATCATCATTATCTCTTCGGGAAGAAGCGTTGCTGGCGGGGTCCGGGTGCCGACCCCGCCAGTAGGATGGTCCCCCTGCACGACACGGGCAGGTTTTAGCTCCACATGACGAATCGTACAAGCATCGAAATCGAAATCTACGACAAGCGTCGTGACACCAAACAACACCCGAAGAGCCAGATCCGATCTTCGGGACATGCCCACGACAACACCAACCTGACCGATCGGCGTGCTTTCTTTCGGCGTACCTTTGGGGTGTTGCGTTGTGGCTATGTCCTTGTGTCACCCCCTTGCTTCCGGTGCTGGCGTTTTTTGTTCCGTTTTGCAGGTGCTCGACCGGGGAGCAGAAGGCGGCGGCGGTGTTCCAGGTCCTCCAGATGGACCCCACCTTCGTCGGCGGAGACCTGGAGTACATGAGGGCCGATCTCTTCTCGGGATCAAGGCTTTACATCACGTCCTGCAGCCTCACAGGTGAGAGGAGACGGTGGGGGGGAGGGGGGGGGTACTCAAAGTCGTGCATTCCGTATCCGGTAGACCATTGACCTCGCATTCCTACGAAGCCGGGACGGAGCACGCCGGGTTCTCACCGGACCAGGCTCTCATATCACCAGACGCGAAACGCCATGAGGTATTCGGCGAGTCGCATGAAAGGTGCGCTGCATCCAGCTAAGGGTGTTGCGGCATCTTGTGCTGACTTCCTTGCGTACTGCCTATGGCTTAATTTATTTCCTGATGATCGCACTTCCTGAGACAGTCGTAAGCACTGTCTTCCTGCCTCGAGGGTGCTTGACCATTTTATCACCACGTGGTGCGATCATCCCCCTTGCGCGGAGTTAGGGTTCTCGACCCCGCACAACATGATCTACTCGACCACCATTCATGGTTCCCGCAAGAAAAAAAACAGAGGAAAAAAAAAACCGGTAACCTTGGTTGCCGAAGTGAATTGGCATGTTTTACAACGTCGTTGCCAAGCGACGAAAACCCAATCCCGATGGCAAACACCGAGGGGGGAAGAGGAGGGGGGGGGGATTTAGATCGCCGCATGCTTAAAGAGCTTCGCATGAACGCATGCGGCGTCACGGGTAAACCCCCAGTGTCATGACATTACCACATGCAGCCTTGCAGGTAGAGAATCGGGTATTAGATCACCGCACGCGGCCTCACAGGCAGAGGGGGGGGGCGTTGCATCACTGCATGCAGCGTCACAGGTAAAAGGTGGCTTTTTGTCACTGCATTCAGCCTTGTAGGTAGAGTGGGCTTAAGATCACCACATGCGGCCTCAAATGTAGGGGGGCCTTCGCATCACCGCATGCGGCCTTACAGGTAGAGGGGGTGGCTTTTGATCACCCCATGCGGCGTCACAGGTACACTTTTTTTTTACATTGGTACATGCGGCCTCACAGGCGTAGGGGGTGGCTGTATATCACCGCATGCAGCCTCATAGGGTAGAGGAAGCAGGGAAACACATTGGACCAAAAATTGTCACTTGAAAAGACTTTTCAATTCATGTTGACTGTACCAACATGTTCCCGATATCTTATAGTCCGACGCGCGACGTGTACGCGTGCCGATCAAGTCACTCGGCGTCATCCTGTGTGTTATAATGCATGAAAATCCATTAAATAGTTCGCGTTTCCACGCGGTACGTTGGAGGCTGGCGCCATGCCTCGGCCTGAATAACATTATCCCGTGCACGCTCATCGTCGAACCGGCTGAACGCGAGACCACCGTCACTTTTGATCCCCCCCGCCCCCGTTTCTTGGGGGGGGCGGTAACCATGAATGGTGGTCGAGTAGGTCATGTTGTGCGGGGTCGAGAAGCCTCACTCCGCACAAGGGGGATGATCGCACCACGTTGTGTTTAATTGGTCAAGCACCCTCGAGGCAGTGACATAGTGCTTATCACTCTCCCTGGGAGTGAAAGCACGAGAAAATTAGCTAAGTCATTTACGGCTGTCATCCGTACGCAAGGAAGTAAGCACAAGATGCCGAACACCCTTAGCAGGATGCAGCGCACCCTTCATGCGACTCGCCGAATATCTCACGGCGCTTCGCGCTTGGTGATGTGAGAGCCTGGTCCGGTGAGAACCCAGCGTGCTTCGTCCCGGCTTTGTAGGGATGCGAAGTCAATGGTCTACCGGATACGGCATGCACGACCATGAGTACACCCCCCCCCCCCCCCCCCCCCCCCCCCCCCCCCCCCCCCCCCCCCCCCCCCCCCCCCCCCCCCCCCCCCCCCCCCCCCCCCCCCCCCCC